TGCAGTCGCAACTGTTCTGAAGTTTCCCATGTATTAACTGAGTGTTCACAATTGTTTTATGAGGTAATTTGAGCATTGGGGAAATTAAATAACTCATGGAAGATTACAGGAAGAAAGTAGTAGAATCTGGATTTCAGGCTGGCAGCGCGGCTCCAGAGACATACTTCTCACCTCACTCCCTGTCCTCTCCCAGCCCCAGGTCAGCGCTGTCTTCCCACATCCCCTACCGGCTGCCTCTCCACGGCCTGACCTGAGGAACGCATTGCAGGCAGCACACGGAGTGTGCAGAGCTGATTATGCCACGCTTTTCACATGTGTGAAAACAGAAACAGCGCTCATAGTTATAATGAAAGGACCTGGGGTCTTCTTTCATTTTTCTAAACATGTTATTTAGAAAAATTAAAAGTAGACGAATGGCACAAGTACTACAGTAAACTCCTACAGTGTATACTCTGTTCCTGTTGTCACCTGTGAAGACTTTTGCCATATCTCTCTGGCTCTCCGGTCCACTGGAGAATTAGCTCAGAGACTCCTTGCCCTAGTATGTTACTCAGCAGGCATCTTCTGAGAACAAGGGCATCTTCTGTAGAACCACAGTTTGTAATTGGTAAAATTCTGATCTACAGTCCCTATGTATGTTTCCTCATTGTCCTTCAGGGTTGTTTTGTTTTGTTGCTGTATCTAGGATCTGATCAAAGATTATATTTAGTTGTCATACTTCTTTAACTATAGCCGTCTCCTAGAGTTTTTAAAATTATTTTTCATAACATTGATTTTTTAAAAGATTTGAGCTGTTGCTCTACATATATGCTTTAGTCCCCTTGTTAGCATTGTCTAGATTCAGATTTTTTTAAAACATGTGGGGCTATCACTTAGTGAAGTTGTATTCTTCTCAGTCATCACTTTTGGAAGCACGTCACGTTACTGTTTTATACTATTTGTGATGGCAAGTGTCTCATCACTTTCTCTTTGCTGTTCAGAACACCTAATACCCACAATATAAGGAAAGAGAGGTTTATTTTGGCTCATATTTCAGTCCATAAAAGGCAAGATGGCCATAGCAGGGGGCATGCCAAGGACAGGTGCTTACAGCATGGCTCACGGGAAGGAGGGAGGGAAGGGAGGAGCCAAGAGGGAGATAAAGCCTCTCAGGTCATGTCCCCAGTGTCACTTTCTGACCAAGTCCTACCCACTGACAGTAAGTCAGCTACTCTGCCCTCATAATCCAATCACCTTTTTAAAGCCCCACCTATGAGTTCAGGAGACTCCTGTTGAGCATCGAGATATAAACCATAACAGCAAGTTTGATCATTTCGTTACGATAGTGTTCATCAGCTTGCTTCTTTGTAAATGTACATTTCCCCCCTTTGTTATAAGTAATCCCTGGAGGGATATTTTAAGATGTGTAAGAATCCTATTCCCAATATTCTCTTACCTCTTAGTTTCCATTGATTTCTTATCTGAATCATTCATATTTTTGTGAAGTGCTAAATTCCATTTCTGTCTTTCCGTCTATGTTTATTAACTAGACTTTCTGTAACCAGAGCTTTCCTTTCTCTGGTAGGCAGAATAACAGTCCATTGAAATAATCTACCTCCTGATTTCCAGAACCTGTGAATATGATCTCTCATAAGGCAAAGGGGAATTGAGATTATAGATGTAATTAAAGTACATAATCAGTTGATTTTAGAATAAGCTTACCCAGTAGGTCCTCATGTAATCATGAGTCTGTTGAAGTAGAAGAGGGAGATAGAGGATGCCACATGAGAGGGCGTAGGCCCATAATAGTTGGCTTTGCAGATGGAGAACAGGACTGCAAACCAACGTAGAGCCTAGAAATGAAATTAAATAGGAAAGATCTGTGGAGGACTTTCTTGTCTCAGGGAGTGAATCCATGCACAAGGGACCTATAAGGTTCTTCAGCATGTAATACCACAGATATTCTGCAGCTTGGACTGCAAGTGAGGCAGGAGATTAGGGTGTGGCAAAGCTGGTTTAGGGCAGTAGATGTGACCTATTAATTACAAAGATTTCACTTGAGAACTTGATCAGGTTTTCAACAGGCAAGCCTAGACTTGAAGTTAGCCTGAGGCCTGGGGGTCCCCACGCTGCCCCTCAGGACCCATATGTGGAAGTTCTTGCATATTTCCTTGTGATTTGGACTGCATTTAGACACCAAGAACTTGCTATCATGACTTTCTTCACAGCGGCCTACCCTGCTCTCTCCAGGGTGTCCTCTTACTGCTTTTTCTCCTTTTACTCACCAGTTTCTCCCTCACTCTTCACTTTGATTTTCTTGAATAACCTTGGTCATTGCTTTTTGCTCATTTTGTTCAATTTTTTTGTTTGAGACCAGAGGAACCTGGAATCTTAACTCCAGGAGAGGCGAGCAACCCAGAACCTGGTAATGTTTAACTGGCGAGCGACTTTTAGAAGGAGCTACCCGATAACAAAAGGAACAGTTCAAGGATGAAACCAAAGAGGCTGCTGGCCACCAAATTCTACAATCAATAAACAAGATGATAAAACTATTTAGCTGCAAAAGTGTGCTAACTTTTATGAAAATAGAAAGCTGGCTTCAAGGGTGGAGCCTTAAGCCCAGAGGGCAGACCTGTGAATCACAGAGCCCTTTTCTGTGGTCTTGAAATCTAATGGAGTTTGCTTGGCTTGTTTTTGAAATGATCAAGATGTTATGACTTCTATTTTTCCTTTGTTTCTTTTCCATTTTAAACCCAAGATATCTGTAGCCAGTGTTCTACCATTGTATTTTGGGAACAAATAACTTGTTCCTATTTTGTTGGTCCACAGACACAGCAGGTTTTCCCCAGCGTAAATCATGCCTATGCTTGATTTAGATGATGAGATTTGGGAGTGTTTGTTTATTTTCACTTTTTTGGTTCGGGGAGTTGAACTCAAGCCCTTCTCTCTGGACTACATACTTAGCCTATTTTTTAGTTTTCATTTTAAGATAGGGTCTTCCTGAGTTTCCCAGGCTGAGCTTGGACTTGCAGTCTTCCTATATCAACTCCCAGAATGCTGGATCACAGGTGTGTGCCTCTGTACCCAGAAAGATTTGGGAGTTTTGAGCTGGTAAATTTAGATGATATTTTAGACTTAGACTTGGGGTTGAGTGTATCTTATGTGTGAGAGAGGTGTGAATCTTTGGAGTCTTGAATGTGCACCATGGTAAGCTCCCCAATATGTTCACATACACATCTTTAAAGTTTATGAATGTGTCACCTTACGTGGTCAAGAGAGATTAAAGTTGGTACCCAGATGTCTTTGAGATAAGGAGATTATCCTGGGTTACCCAGGTATGTCCAACATAATCACAGGGCCCCTTCCAAATGGAATAAGGAAGTAGAAGAGGCCATAGTGGTACAAAAACTAGACCTGCCATTCTTTCCTTTGAAGATAAGAGAAGGGGGTCATAAACCACAAATTGTGGCCACTAGAACTTGGAGAAAGGACACAGATCTCATCCAGACCCTATAGAAAGGACTACAGCCGTGTTAGTGCTTTGGTTTTATCCTGGTAAGAGACCAGTGTTAGCCTTCTGACCTCCAGAGCTTTAATATAATAAATGTCTGTTTAAGCTGTGGAATTTCTGTTAATAGTAGCAGAAGAAGTATACCTTCTCACCTTCTTGTCAGTGTGTCCTCATGGATTCTTTCTAAGTGGGTTCTAAGTCTCCCCCTTACTATTTCCTCTAAGAAGCTGATGCAGGCTTGAAAGTCCAAGCCCAGCCTGGGCAGCCTACTGAGACCCTGTCTCAAGAACAAAGTATGTTCACACTGTCTCAAATCTGGCCATTTGTGATACGTTCCCAACCTATTTTGAGGACTTCCCTCTGTTTTGTCATAGCAAGATGTTCCATGCCCACCTAGTGCTTTGCCTCCCTCTTGGATTCAGAGCACATATTCCTAAGCAGTGCCCAGTAAATGGTTGTCTTTGGGGCTAGATCAAGATTTGCCATGGTTAGACTTCTCTCCAAGACAGGCTCACAGGCACAGGTGTCTACAGGGAGAGAAGAGAGCCCACGGTTCTATGGAGAGAAGAGAGCCCAAGGTTCACAGGTTTTTCAAGAAAAGCCCCAAATTCAGATTTTTCTGTTAATCCTTCAAATTTCAAAAGGTTAGCAATGAATTCAATTTCATTTTTAGAACACTGCAAAGAATGAACAAACCATGCCTGCTGGCTGGATTTGGCCTCCAGGCCACCAGTTTCTAACCTGCAGCCTCCAACATGCCGGTAATGAATATGATCAGACACATAGGGATGTCTAGAGCAGGGGTCTCTTTGTCTTTTAGGTGCAGTGGATTTCCTTGGCAGTCTAGGGAAGCCTGCAGGCTCTTCTCAGTAGGATGTCTTCAAGGGAATTAAAAATAAAACCAGAAATGACTACGAAGGAAATCAAGTGTACTGAACTATAGTAATTAAAATATTAAGAATTATGATATACATGCTTTATCACTGCATTAAATAATACAATATAGCAGAAACTTTCACTCCCATAACTTAGAAATACTGTCAGAATGGTGTTTTGAAGGAATTGTTACAATTGTGAAGTGGTATTAAAATACCTGATATCTGTTGGTAGCAGCATCACAGATACTATTACTATTTCTTGCTTTGTTGTCCACATTCCTCTTTGAAGGCATTGTTAAAATTTTAACTAGAAATTAGTGAAAGCAAAGATGCAATTTTTTTTTCTGCTCTCCATGTTTAGTGAACCCCCAGAGTCTCCTTGGTCCCAAATATCATCAATTTATTTCTAGTAGGTGTTTTTGTTTTGTGGTACCTGGAATAGAATGCAGGGCTTTTTGCATGATGGGTAAGCGCTGTGATGCTGAGCTATACTCCAGCCCTTGTTAAGAGGAGTTTTAAGGTGGTAGTGGTAATGTTACTGAGAATAATGAAGCAAGTCATCATCTTAGATTTTACTTTGTTTTTGTAGTTAATTTGCAGGTTAATAAACTTGATTCTGTGTTTTTCTTTAGAACGTTATCATTTGTCTTATAAGATTGTGCGAACGGACAGTCGCCTGGTGCGCAGCATTCTGACAGCCCATGGATTTCGTGAAGTAAGCTTGTTTTTACTGCCTCGCCTGACTCCTCCAAAGCTGAAAATCCTAGCCACTTCGCTAGCCGCCAGATCTAGAAAGTACATGGGAACAACCTTTACTGAGGGTGCAAAACTTGCATTGAGTTTGTTAGTGGCTTGACCAGTGTCTTCCTGCAGTAGAAGTGGAACATTTTCACAGGGCCTTTTTTTTTTCTTTTGCTGTGTTCTTGAGCTTGTGCTAGATGCTGAGTTGCTCATAAAGAATTGTCTGATACCCAGTGAAGGTTCTTAGAATGCAAGCAATAGAAGTGGACTTTATATAACTTACAACAAAAGAGATTTGGAGGAAAAGTGTGCAGCAAGTGGCTAGCAGAATTAGAGAAAAAGCTGGGAGGTCAGGAGGGGAGAGACCATGGTAGCCTTGGGGTTTAGGATCTGTAATCTTCAGGATCATCTCCTCAAGGCACTGCCATTAATTTTACTGGACTCCATTCATTGTCTTGTGCCTTTCTTGGGAGATAGAATGACTGGACTAGCTTGAGTCACTGATCCGCTTCTTGGAGGATAAGGGTGTTGGGTGATTAACATATTCTTTAAAACGAGTAAGAGCTGGGCATGGTGGTGCACGCCTGTAATCCCAGCACTCAGGAGGCTGAGGCAGAAGGATCGCTGTGAGTTTGAGGCCAGCCTGGGCTACAGAGTGAGTTCAAGGACAGCCAGAACTACATAGAGAGAACCTGTCTCAATTACATACATACATACATAAATACATACATGTCAAAGAATGTCATTTCCCTAAAAAAAGGGAAAATTAGGATGTTATAAAAGGACAGACAAAAATGCAGAACCAGACCTCTTCTACAGATACTTTGAGACCACTGATTAAAGTTTGGTTGCTGACTCCATATTCTGGGTTGAGATCTGTAGGAGACATTCGGGTAACTTTCTGATACCTTTTAGTAGTCAGTATTTCCTCTTTTGTCCCCAGTGCTTGCTATGGTCTTATCACATTGTAAGCATAATTGTTGAATGAATGGACAGGTGAATCCTAATGAACAAATATAATCTGAGTCACTTTTTTACAGTAAGGTTTCAGTTCTGATTAATACTTTTTACCTAGTACCTACAAAGATATAGGATCTAAGAAAGTAGCTTTGTGGTTGAGGCCTAATCTTGTACTTTGATAAGCAAGAGTATTGAGGAACATCATCAACTTTTAAAGAAGGGTGGTGAATTTGATTTATTTTTTGCAGTTTGGGGTGGGGCATTAAATCCAGGGCCTTCACACTGAGCTGCATCCCCAGTCCTTTTAAAATTTTTTATTTTGAGACATGGTATCAGCTTCCCAGTCTGGGTTTGAACTTGGAATCTTCCTGCCTCAGCCTCCCAAGGTGCTTGGATAACAGGTGTGCACCATCATGTCTGGCTTATTTTTTATTTTGAGACAGCACCTTGCTAAGTTGCCCAGGTTATGGGATCCTCTGGCTTCATCCTCCTGAATAGGTGTGATTACAGGTGTGTGCCACTATGCTTGTCACCTCTCTTGTTCTTTAAATGTGATTGTCTTGTGTTCTGTGATAGTTGCTTTTGTCTTACCTTGCTTACATACTAATTGGGCCACCCCATGAGTTCTCAGTGCGTGAAAAATGGCTGTGACTCTCTCTGCCATTGCTTTTCCTGGAAAGAGGCTGTCTCTGATGGATTTTTACATTCTGTGTTTTTCTCTGTCCTCAGGTTCACCCAAGCAGCACTGACTATAACCTGATGTGGACAGGATCCCACCTGAAGCCCTTTTTACTTCGCACCCTCTCTGAAGCACAAAAGGTTAATCACTTTCCCAGGTAATGCCCTTGAAGCTGCATTGCTACCGGTAAAGATAGCTGAGGCTGGATTATATAGCCAGCAGATAATTAATGTTCTTGAGAAGGAGGGCAATCCTGGTCAGGTCAGTAGACTGCAAAGCAGATGGAGGTGTTCATGTCCCTAGGTGTGTATGGACATTTTTCTAGGCTGTAGAGGCACGGATGATTTTAAAGAGACCGTTTGGGTTCTTGTTCCTAAAATTGAGTTTTCTTAAGAGCATCTGTTGTGGATGAGTTCTCCCCCTTCCTTTTCACAGGTACTATTTTTCCTCTTTATAAAAGAATAATTCACCTGTATGTCAATATGATATGTTACCTTTAGGTGAAGGATTTCTAGGGTTTCAAACTAAATGACAAAGAAAATTTTGAGAAACCTAATATAGAAAGAGCAAGATAAAAGATGGTAGGAAATAGGGCAATCAGTCTTTTTTAAGTGGGAAGAGGACCAAGAGACAGAGACAGGGAGAGGAGCAGGGGAAGAAAAAAAATTGAGATGTGTTGTATACATGCACCAAACCCCAGTAGGAGTGTGACCATTATGTACTGCAAACATGCTAATAAAAACAAAAATCGGGAAAAAAGAAAGAGAAAGGATGATCTGGAACAGCAAAATAAGACAAAACAAAAACATTCTGAAAGTTTCTATGACAAAAATATCTAGATGTGACATGAGAAACACAGTCTGACAAAAATAATTCTGTGTTAATTCCAAGTGAAGGTACAAATTGACTGACAAATTCAGATACTAAAATTTCTGAGACATTTCATTAATTTGTTTTTAGGGGGGAAAGTTTTGCATATTTGAGAAAAAAACTATCCAAGAAAGTAGAACTTATGGTTACCTAGTCCATATTTATAGACCTGAAACCAGTGCACTAATTGCAAAACTTGCAATTAGTTATATGTCCCTCCTGCACAGGGCCCAGGAGAGATCTTAATTTTAGACTAAATGGTCTTATTATACTAACATCTTGGGTTAAGATCTCCACTGAGAGCTTAATTATACCTTTCCTTACATTTGGAAAGTTTTCTGATACTATTTCTCTGAATAGGTTTTTTTATGTCATTTGTGCTGTCTTCTGATTTTCAGTAATTCCAGTTAATCTTAGATTAGTCTTTTTTGTGTCATCTAGCAATTGTTGGATCTATTTTTCATTTTTTTTTTTTTTGTTATTTTTAAGGTATTTCTGAATAATTGGTCTTTGGCAGCAGCCCTGTCTTCTAATTCTGATGCTCTGTCCTCACACTGGTTGCTTCTGGTGTCGTACTTTGAATAGCTGTTTTAGTCTCCTGGATTTCCATTTGGAACCTTTTCATGGGCTCTAATTCTTTTTTAAACTGGTCATTCATGTTTTATTTTGTTTAACTCAGCTAGTTATTTGTTAGTGTCTTCTATAAACTTGCTGATCATTTTGTTTATTATGTTCATTATTTGTTTAATTATAGTATCTTGTTTGAGCTCACTGAGTACCTTAGTGATCTGTGTTTTTAATCTCCTTTGTTAACCTTTTAATTATTTGGGTGTGTAACTTTTGATTACTTCCCTATTGATTAGTTTTGGGGAGGGGTTGAGAGTTTTTAGAGGAATTTTGTTGCCTTGTCTTCTCATGTTTTTATTTACTTATTTAGTTTTTGGCTTCAGTTTATGGGTGCTTACAGTGAAAAGACTTTGTTGCTAGTATGGAGATCTCTTTAGTGTCTGCTTTTTAGTGGCTATAGGTAGACCACTGAGTATAGTTAATCATATGCCTTTGCCTCTGTCCCAAGATCCAACCAAGTCCGTTAATTTGGGAGGGAAGGATGTAGTGTAATTGGCTCAGCACCCAGTTCTCTGGGAAGGGAACCACAGTATTGTTAGTAACACAAAGGTAGTTTGGATACTGGCATACAGAGAAAAGCTTTTATTAATAACAACTATACCTCTTGGCAATAGCAAGTAAATCAGCAACAATAATGGTATCAAAGACAAACTGGATACCATAAGAACCAATATTGGGGCAGAAGTGATGCCTGTAATCCCAGAATTCAGGTGGCTGAAGCAGGAGGATTGCCACAAGTTCAAGGTCAGCCTAAACCACATAGTAAGACCTGTCTCAAAAAACAAAAACAAAGAACAACAACAACAACAAAATGAACCAATACTGTACCACCTTAATCATAGAAAACACATCTATAATTACAGCATAAACCCTAAGACAAACCTAATATTTACATAAAGTAAACATCTACTAAATGTGATAGCTGTGTCTCCAGTAACAATAGAAGTGAATTCAACAGTAATAGCATAGAGGCAACTATCTGAAGATTAATAAAGCTAAATGTTTATACCAGTAAAAATAGAGGGGGTGGTGAACAGGAGAATGAGAGAAGAAAATTTTGAAAAATTAAGGAATGGAAGATGAGGAAAGAAAAACTGAGATAAAGGATTATTTTTGGATAAAGGTACCAGAAAAGAACAAAGGAGAAAAGAAGGAGAGAAAAAAGAACAAGAAAGGAAAAATTAAAAGGAAAAGAGAAAAACCTATCAAAATCACAGCAGACTTCTCAACACAAATCTTTAAGTCAAGGAGAGCTTGGAATGAAGTATTTCAAGCCCTAAAAGAAAACAACATCCAACCTGGATTGATGTACCTTGCAAAATTACCTTCCAAAACTGATGGAGAGATACGATACTTTAGTGATGAAGAACGCCTTAAAAAAGTCATGACCACCTAACCACCACTCCAGAAAGTTCTGAAGGATATTCTAGAAAAAGAAATGAGGACAACGATTCCATGAATCCCAGCAGAATGAATCCACCGACAAGGCAAGCAATTTAACAGAAAGGAAAGAAAGGGAACCAACAACAGAAAAATGATATGACAAGGATAAGTCAATACATGACCAACAATTGAATGGTCTCAACTGCCCTGTCAAAAGAAACAGATTGGCAGAATGGATCAAGAAACAAGATCCAACAATATGCTGCACACAAGAAGCAAATTTTTGAGGGGGCGATACCAGGGATCAAACTCAGGACATTTTGCTTGAGAGGCAAGCAGGTGGTGGAACTGCTGAGCTAAATCCCCAGCCCAAGAAGCACATTTAAATAAAAAATTCATAGACTGAAAGTCAAAGGATAGAAAACAGTACTTGCAGTAGGAATCTGGAAAAAATCAGGAATAGCTGTTCTATTTGCAGACAAAACTTATCAGAAGAAACAAAGAAAGTTGCTACATACTGGTTAGGGGAACAATCCAAGAGAAAGAGATAACAGTCATAAATATATATGCACAAAACACCAGTGCCCCCAACTATATAAAATAAGCATTAATGGATATGCAATAAAAGCAGTCCTATGAGGGAAATTAATAGCAATGAATTCCCATGTTAAAAAACAGAGCAAGCTGAAATAAATAACCTAATGTTGGCCCTTAATGTTCTAGGGAAAAAAACAGCAAGCTAAACCCAAAACATGTATAAGGGAGGAAATTATAACAATCAGAACAGAAATTAGTGCAGCTGAGACTAAGAAAACAATACAAAGAATCAATGAATTGAAGAGCTATTTCTTTGAAAGATGAAATAAAATGGATAAATCCTTAGCCAGCCTTATCCAAAAAAGGAAAGACCCAAATCCATGACAGTAGGAATGAAAAGGACAGAATCACAACAGATCCTGCAGAAATCCTGAAGATCATCAGTACCTACTTTGAGAACCTGTACTTTAATGAGATGGAAAACTCAGTAGAAATGGACATATTCATTCATATATATATATATATATATATAT